TTAGCATCAGCACCGTGCTTCACAGCATCTCCACCACCTCAACATGACCGTTAATGCAGGCATCGTGCAGTGGTGTACCGCCATGCTGTGGGATGATGCATCAGCATGACGTACAGGTACAGCATCATCGTCATCATCAGCATCATCATGGGGACAGGTGCACCATCATAGCGGGGGTAAAGGGGGGAAGAGGGAGGTACTGTACTGACGTTGCTCTTGGCTTTAGCATCAGCACCGTGCTTCAACAGCATCTCCACCACCTTGTCATGACCGGTAAAGCAGGCACTGTGCAGTGGTGTACCGCCATGCTGTGGGATGATGCATCAGCATGACGTACAGATACAGCATCATCAGCATCATCATCAGCATCATCATGGGGTACAGGTGCACCGTCATAGGGGGGTAAAGGGGGAAAGAGGAAGGTGCTGTACTGACGTTAGTCTTGGCTTTAGCATCAGCACCGTGCTTCAACAGCATCTCCACCACCTCAACATGACCGCTACTGCAGGCCATGTGCAGTGGTGTATTGTCACCACACTGTGGGATGATGCATGCAGTATACGTCCCATGACATATTTTCAAAGTATAACCAATATCACACAACATGATACCAAACAGCATACGTACCTTCTCTTTGGACTGGGCAGCATCTCGAATGCGTTGTTGGTCCCAACTGGTCAACAGCTGCAACGCCTCTTGTGGATCTGAATCACACGCCTTCAACAGCCGCTCTCCATCAACACTCATGGTAATGGTCAACATCCGCTTCAAACCGCTTTCTTGCTTCACTATCCACCATCAATCTCATTAGCCCCCTCCAAGTACAATTCGTCTGACAATCCAAAATTCGGACTGGGCTTCGGCGCGCGCAGTTTCCAAAACGGCAGCCGGTCAGCGGGCCCTGCTCTTCTCTGTCTGATGCACCAAACGACTCACCCTTCCCGAATATCTTGGGTGACAGTTGCGAGTACAGGTGTACTTGGTTGCCCAGCGCACGTTGTTGACTGTGAGGCGAGATCAGTGGCCTTACTGAAAGCAAAAAAATGGCAGCAATGCTTTCAATCAAAAATCCGGCGTCGCCGCAAGGTCCCGACCAGGAGAGTCCCGTACCAAGCACAAGCGATCAGTCACCACACACACAAAGCAAGACACCTCAAGCAGCCCGTCGATGCCGATATGGAACCCGATGCCAAAGAGGGGAAAAAGGAAGACGATTCAAAGCAAAATGGCAAAAGGCAAAAGAGGAATGACGAAGAAGGAAAGAACAATCGTTCCAACTGTGTGAGAAGCGGATGCGCAGAACTGTTGTTGTTGACGGGAGCGTGACGCCTCTTTCTCTCTCTCTCTCTCTCTCTCTCTCTCTCTCTCTCTCTCTCTCTCTCTCTCTCTCTCTCTCTCTCTCTCTCTCTCTCTCTCTTCCCATCCTTCTGCGACGACGTGTCGCGCAATGCGGCCTGAGCCTCCCTCATTTTTCTCCTCAAACTCCCAGCAACAAGCTCGCTCAATTTCGACGGCCACCCGCCCAGCCCTAAAATAAGGAGCGAAGGGTTAATGAGCCTGTGAGTTTGCAATTGTCAGTGCCGAAGTATCGGCACATGGGAGAGGAGTTTTTTATAGTTTGAGGCGACACGGTTTCGGCGAATTGCAGCCTCACATCTGGTTCGTCGAAACTGGCCGCCAATCCCACGACGGATTATGGTCAGTGAGGTCCCAGCCCCCTCGACTTTGTCGAGAGGAAGTCACACCCGCCCAGCGTCATTGCCGAAGTTGCTTATGAAGTTGTATCTCTCACTTGCTCGTTGAACTTGATCTTGAAGCAACAAGTTTTGTGTCTGCATTTTGTGTGTGATTAGTGAGGGCAGAAGATCGAACAAACAAGAAAGTTAAAACAATCGTACGAACAGATTCCGAAGCGCTGTCAAGTTGGAACTTGTGCGTACATGTGGACTGCCCTTCTGCCTGCCATGGCCGCTGAAAAGCATTCAAAGCCCACTGGCTACCCAATTCAACCCCTCCGGCTATATCAAACCTATCCCTACCCAACTCACCTTCAGAGCCTAGCTGAGCGTCCAAGCAAATCAGTATCGGCGGCGAGGTGCACGCCGAGCTCGGAGGGAGTCTCACAGACATTGCCCGCTCTCTCCATGGCTGTAGAGTCGTTCAATTCTGAGGATGGACATAGTGCAACTCATACCCAACTGCAAATGTCACAGCAAGGAGAAACAACGATCGTCACAACCTGTCTCCCAAGGGATTGCGAAGTACACGAAGAACGCACGCAGAGTTGACTCGTGTGCCTTCCAAGTAGGAAAGTCCATCGTGGATGACGGTGATCATGCGCGAAAAAAACATTAAGAGAGTCCAAATGCGCGGAAGAACGGGTTTGACGCTAGCAGCGGAACTACGAATTATGAAGCTCGGACCAACTTTTGACCCTCCATCGAACAATTAACAATGCATGCATGCTCCGTTCGTGATGGCTTGGCAAGTACCTAGCGACTGAGTCGAAACTGGGACTGTTGATAAGTCAAGTTGAGGATTGGAGCAGATTCGAAAGCGGCCGGTGACGTTAATAATACTGCCAAGTCCATCCACGTCGCTCAAGGCGACATTATGCTATGCGGCACAGCGCAACGAGCCGTAAGAGACACACAATCACATTGCCATAAGAACAAAGCCCTCCCTTGTCCTCACGCGCGCTACAGTTGACGGCGACACGCGCTTTCGAGACAACATACACCAATGTACAACTCGCCGCCAATGCTTGAGACATTGCCTAGTCCATCCACATCGCTTAAGGCAGTATTACCCTATGCAACACAGCGCAAAAAGCCATAAGAGACACACACTCATATTGTCATAAATACAAGGCTCTCCCTTGTCCTCACAAGCGCTATAGTTCAAAGCGACATGTTCCCTCGAGATAACGTACAGTAGTGTACAAGCCGCCACCGACGCTTGAGACATTTCCTAGTCCATCCACATCGCTCAAGGCAGCATTACTCTATGCAACACAACGCAAAAAGCCATAGGAGACACACAATTGCATTGCCACAAGTACGAAGCTCTCCCTTGTCCTCACGAGCGCTATAGTTGACCGCGACACGTTCTCTCAAAATGACGTACGTCAATGCCCAAGTAGCCGCCGATGCTTGTGATTTTGCCAAGTCCATCCACATTGCTCAAGACGGCATTACTCTATGTGACACAGCGCAGCGAGCCGTAAGAGACACACAATCGCATTGCCATAAGAACAAGCCTCTCCCTTGTCCTCACGAGCGCTACAGTTGACCGCGACACGCGCTCTCGAGACAACATACACCAATGTACAAGTAGCCACCGATGCTTGTGAGATTGCCCAGCCCGTCCACATTGCTCAAGGCGTCGTTATCCTGCGTAGCACGGCGCAGGTATGTGTAAGAGACACACAATCACGAGTCCGAACGACCAACGACTTGTATTTTTGTTTGTCGTTGATCTTCCTGTTATCAAACATGATGTGATAGTAGTGGGAAGGGAGCTTGCACTGGAAAGGGGCAATGAAAATCATGTGGCTTTCTGTTGGTCTATTTTCATCAATGGTACCCTCCTCCGCCGGATTTCTCAAAAACAAAACAGTGCACAATCACATCAGCCATCGATAATTCAAATGAAGAAGGACAGCACAAGAGTTGGCGAACCCGCACATGCAAACAAACAAAGAACAGCAGACTCGGAAGCAAACACCCGAGTCGCACGAGGTGGTCAAGAGGAAAAGGGCGTAGCAAGAGACAAGGAAAGGTGACATTAGAAACGACAGCACAACATCCACAGTTGCATCACGCTCTGCCATCCGCGCTGCCGATGATCGGCAGCGCGGATGGCAGAGTATACGGGAAGATCGAGGGTCAGCATTCGCGAATATAACAAATTGCGAGGGCACAGGGCCAGAGCAGCCCGGCATGGGCAATGTCTGACAACATCAAGCTCATACAGGGTATCAAGCCGAATAGGATACTACAAGGGCTGTCACTCATATCCGTCTGCATTTTCCTCTAGCTTTTCCACAATCTCGATAAAGGAGATGCGCGACTCGGGATCCTGATGCCAGCACATGGACATGATATCGTAGATCAGCTCGGAGGCAAGAGAGGGCCTGCCCATGCGTTCGCCGCGCCCAACTCGGTCCACGGTTTCTGCGTTGGTCCATTGCGGGTAGGGCGTTGTGCCGAGGGACCAGATCTCCCACAACAAGACACCATATGACCTAATGATGAAGAGCGCCGTGAGTTGAGCGGCCGAGCGAGCACGCCAATTTGTGAACAAGCAGGCTGCAGAGTACCGAGAGCAAGAAGGCGTACCAAACATCCGATTTGGTGCTAAAGCGTGCGTACAGGTAGACCTCGGGACTGGCCCACTTGATGGGAAACTTGGTTCCCTCCGAAGCCGTGTATTCATCATCAATGACAAAACGTGCAAGACCAAAATCAGCCACTTTGACAACGTTGTTATCGCCGACGAGGCAGTTGCGAGCGGCAAGGTCACGGTGGATGAATCCATGATCCTCGAGAAACGCCATGCCGGAGGCGACCTAGACGCGCGCGCAACAAGCGCATCAGCATGACAGAAAATCTCACGCCGTTTATCATACAACATTCGCTGAAGAGCGAACACGGAGAATCAAGGGCTGGCTGACGACTTGCTGAACGCTATTGCTGGTAACGATCGCGACACACGCACCTGCACGCTCATGTAATGCAAAATCTGTGGTTTGCCTTGCAGCATGGATTGGTTCTTCTTGAGGTAATCAAGCAAATTGCCTAAGTCAGAGAGGAAAAAGGGGGTGAGCAAGTCCCACTGATCTCGCCAAGAACGGGCGGGGTACCCGTGCTAGCGCGCGGACGCGAGGGGACCCCGACTGCGCACCGTTGGACATCAGCTCAGTGACAATGTAAATGGGCTTGACTGATGTGACAACACCCAAAAGCTCGACCAGGTTTTTGTGCCGGAATTTCCTAAAGCAGACCGTGCCGTAAGCTCAAAGCCGGACGAAGAAGGGTGTCATGCCAGAGCAAGAGGCCCGAGCTGAGATGGGGACGACTAAGGGGCACGCAACGGGAACGCCTTGCATGCACGGACATCATGACTTGAGCTTCGGCAATAAAGTCATCCTCAGACATGGAGCCTTCCTTCATCATTTTAATGGCGACGGGCCGGTTGGACTTGTAGACGCCAGCGCGGACGACACCAAAGTTGCCCGAGCCAAGTTCACGTCCGAGCTCGATTTCGCGAGCATCCAGCTCCCAACGATCGTGGCCCAACCCAGCCGTAATTGGCGTGTTGGCATCCTGCACGGGCTTGCGGAGGCGAGTTACCAAGCCTAGAGGGAAAGAGAGAGGCAAGCGGCAGACACAGTGGTGAGCTCACAGTCACATTGAAGAACTGGCCGTGGCTGGAGGCAAGGCTATTGCGGGTGGAGACGTGACATGTGCGTACCACCGCCGTTGTGTTTGTGGTACTCAATCAGCTCGCTGATTGAGGCAAATGTGTGGCGCTCCGACACACGGTACATGTCCTGATCGTGCTTGATCTTGTAGTGTTTCAGCTTGCCTTGATAGCTGCAGCAAAAGAAGACAAGGGAAGAACCGATCAGCAAGAAACCACTTGTGTGTGTCTTGCTGTTGTGTGCTTTAAGAAATGAGTTGGGGATCGACGGAGCCTGGACAGCATTGGGTAGCCACGTACAATACGGAGAGGGAGTAAGAGCCTGGTGTGCTCTCGCTTTCGCGCACAAGAAAGGCACCGTCTTGGCCACACATATTGAGAAGGGCCGAGGCCATGGCTTTGCTTGTGTCGGCCATGAACCATCTGCAGAAAAGGGACAAAGTTCAGGGACAAGAATGAGCTGCTCTGCGAGCCATGAGCAAACAATCGCTCCATAGCATCAAGGGCGAGAAACGTACGGCTCAGATTCCAAACCCAGCTTGCGAACATAGTTGGCTGGGATGTAGCCTTCCTGGCCGGCATTATTTCTCGCTTTCCACCAATGTTCCTGCCAATGCACGCGCTGTGAGCCGAGGCGGGCGCGCAAGGGAGGCACGGGCCGCACATTGGTGTGCGCGAACTGGCGAGAAGAAGGCGACAAGGTGTGGCAGGTACCACCTGTTTTGCTCGGCCTTACCTCCATCTGATCCACAATGACAAGACGTTCGCCCTTGCTGAGCGAGAGATCCGTGGGTTCGAGAGCATCGTAGTCGTACAACGACTGGACTTCGAACAACGCAGGCGCGGCCCCGGGTGGTAGAGAAGCAGGGGAAGGGGCGTCCGGAGTTGTTGCGGCGGCTGGTGTGGGCGTGGCTGCAGGAGCAGCTACAGGTGACGGGGATGTCACGGAAGCTGGTGCTGGGGTCGTTGCTGCGACCGCGGGAGCGCTGGTGCTGCCCCCAGCTTGGCCAGGGACGGGGGGCAGTGGACTCTTGGCAATATCGGGCAGATTCTCATCAGCCAGGTTGCGCATGCCGCCAATGGTGCTGTGGACGGGCGATGGGGGTGGGTGCAGGTTCACAGTGAGTTGGTCAAGCTCGCAACACAAGCGTTGAGAGTGGAGCGGCGGCTGACCTGTAATCGAAAGCGGGTTGGCAGCCCTTGCAAGTGACGCTGGCGTTACCGCAGCAGAGCCAACGACCATCATAACGCCCCTTGTGCACGGCACCAAGGAGGTTGCTGTTGTTTTTGACCGTGTGGCGCAGCTTTTCCAACCAGAGATTGCGCTCATTGAGGCCGTGGGCCTGACAATAAAGAAAGTTGTTGTCTTGCGACTGAACGACCATCATGTAGGGACGGCCAAAGACGTCGTTGCCCAGATCCTCCACGGCAACAATATCCGAGACCTTGAGCGACCCCTTGAGACGGCTCTCATCAACCTTGCCACCATACCTAAAAGCAGCGGTATGATATAGCGCGAGGTGTGGGAGGGGCGGGGGTGGATCAGCAAGACACTGCGCACATGCGCATTCGTTTAGCATGTTTAGCAGTAGTGGCAGCATCAGCGGGTGACGCACGATTCGTAGTAGCAAAGCTTTTCCGTGGAAAGGATAAAGAGGCGGTCTTTCCAGTTGCGTCGGCCCATGGCACGTAGACCACGGGCACGCTTGGTGAGCATGCCTTGATGAATAGGGTCCGTCATGGCACGGGTGCGGAAAACAAAAAATCGAGCAGAACGAGGTCAAGTGGGGTTGGGCGCGCGCGCGCGCGGACAAGAGCGAACAGCTACACAGCTCCCGATGCGTGCCTACGAACATCGGAGATCCTAGGGTGAGAAGCAAGAGGAGGGCAAAAACCTATTGGCCGAGGCCAGCTGAACTCATGGGGTCGGGCTTGGCTCGAAACAAAACAAGCCAAAAGGGGCCGCGCACCTCGGTGGGGTACGCGGCAGTGGGTGATGCCGACTTGAACAACCCTGACGGATCAACCCCGATCGTCGCTCCATCCAGCTCTCAATCCACACAGCCCAATGCACCAATGCTCGGGCGTCCCGGCAGCTCAGCACACCCGAGCCAGCCAGAAGCAGCACAGCACCAGCATCTGCCAGCAGCCAGCACGAGAAGGCAGGTAGCAGGGAGAGAGGCGACTCAAGCTGACGTAGAAATGATTTTCTGTCTTACACAAACACAAAAGAATTACTTATCGGTCAGAGATGCAATCTGTTGGGTTGGATGGGGGTAGAGGTATGGAGCGATGGGTGGCAGATCTCTGCGTTGAAATCAAGCAGAATTTAGAGATACTTGGCTGGACTGGTCGCGAGCTGAGAGAAGGGGTAGGCGCAATCCCATCTGAACGGTGAGTGATAAACCTAACCGTTACAGTTGGTAGCGTTCCAAGAATCCCTCAACCAACTGTTAGTTCCTCTCACATTTGGTAGTCCACATCAGCATCGCATCCCCTAAACATAGCTTGTTTTTCATGCCTATATTTAGCGCATTCCTATCCCCGGGCAGCGCGCGATGAAACTGGGTGACACTTTTGAGCAAAACTGCGGACAGTCATTTTGGGTCGCTCATGACGATCATCTCTCTTGCCTCTCATCTCTCCTCTCTCATCTCTCTCATCTCTCATCTCCGCTAGCCTCCTCGAGCTGGCATGGAATCATGGGGTGCCGCGTTGTGGTGCGCAGCAGTGCGACCGCGCGAAGGAATGTGTTTGCATCCTTCTCTGCTCAAGAGGAAGTCATAGGGATGGGATGGGATTGATTCACTTGCTCGTCGAGTCTGGTGTCCCGATTGGGGACCAGAGGTGCTGTGTCCCTTTGCTGCTTCACCATGTCACGCACCGTGTTGCCACACCCTGCGGCTTTGACGGCAGGCTGGACGGTACTTGAGGAGCGTTTCACTCCTTTTTCAGCTCCCCGCTCTGTCCCAACGTGGACCACCTAAGTCTACGAGCTGTCGGTGCCACGGCTGCTTTGCCAAGTCACCGACGCAGCCATGCCTCTCCCCTCCCAACGTATGTGCGTTACCAGATGTGGGTGGGTCAGCAGGTACTATGGAAAGCTTGAACGACTCCGAGCCTCTCTACCTCTGGTCACTGGATACGGAAACAATGGTTGTGCGGCGGCCCGCCCCGTTGCCGTGCATCACCGCACCCATCACGCCGCATCCTGAAGGTCCGCAAGCGTTGTGTGGCTGTGTGGCTAGCAACATCAACGGTCGCTCTCGTTGGCTTGCTCTGCCGCCACTTCTACTACCTGAAAAACCCGTCCCCATCGTCTCGCACTGCCACATACACACAGTCACACATACAGGCCCTTTTGTCTTGTCCCTTTGGCCTCCTGTCCCCTTGCTCTCAAACGCAAACACCTTATCAACCGTCAATGAAGATCAACAACTCAAGGCAAAGCGGTGGTCCGAGGCTCTTTCAGTGCAGTTCAAACGTCTTGGACTGCCACCGCTTACGATCCAAGCCACTTTTTTCCCGCTGCTTTGGGCTACGCTCTTGCTCGCCGTGCACGCCCGGTGACGCTGCCTTCGACTGCCGGTCGCGGCTTCGTCCAGCCAGTCTTATCTCGACTCCAACTTCCCACGTTGATCTTGCTGTCTTGCAACTTTGCGCAAGCTGCGCAGACTCCATCCACACTGCCTTCTGCTCGGTCTGCACTGCCAGACACCGCTTGCTTGTGTGCTCAGCATCTGCGTCTGGCCCAAGGTTAAAGGCATTCGTGCCCTACCCTTGCTCCATCCAGCGGCGGTGGTGTGGACGACCTGAGCAGGCCTGGCGCGTTGCCCACGAGGGCTACCGCCAGTGCTCTGCCCTGCCCTCATGATGGATCTGACGACCCTGGACAGCCGGCTCCGTGCCCTTCGCCATGAGTATCGGCACCACATTCAATCCCTGTATGCTCTCGGCGTCAGCCCAGTAAGGCCGACTCGGCTTGTTCCCCCTCGCTCGTCTGGAGCCAGCCGTGGGGGTCCAGCCCAGGCGCGTGGTCATCATAGCCGCGATTGCCTCACTTCTTCTCCTGGCCGCCTGTGTTTCCCTGCCCTTGGTCTCACATCTATAGCCTCGCCCCTCACCCTCACCCAAGCTCGAGCTTGCTTTGGTGGATGCTATCCCGCTCGATACCGACGAAGATTCTTTCGATTCCATTCCCTCGCCCTCCATGCCATTGGACAGCGCCACGCTGATCAGCACTGGGGCTGAACTTGAACCCCATGGGCCGGACCTGTCACCGGTCACCCGCCCCACGCCAACCCGAGCACCGCGGCGGCGCCGCTCTCATCCCGAGCACGGCACTGCCACCGTGAGTGCTTCGGCCATTGGTGAAGCCATCTACCGTTGCCCCTGGCCCGACTGTCACAAGGTGTGTCCATCTGCTTGCCCACTTGCTTGCTCGGCGGTGGCTTTGTGCGTCTCTCATTAATGTCTCTCGCCTTTGGGGCCGCATCAGACCTTCAAGCGAATCAAATCACGCAGTGCTCACCTCAAGTGGCATGGTGGAGATTGGCGGTCCGCCTCTCACACGCCCCGACCAACCGCTCTCAAGCCATGGCCGCCCGTGGCCCCCGTTTGTGCCCCGACAGTGTCGCTCCTGCAACCCGGAGCAAGCGTGCTTGTGCCGCGCCCCGACGTCGAGCCCGTCGTCCTCTACCAACGGGGCACGCTTGCCAGCCTCGAGCCCAGCGCTGCCACCATTACCGTTGCCGGCGAGGCACTGCGCATTGCTCGTTCTGATCTTCTCCCAGACCACGCCCCCGACCATGCTCAGGCAAGCCGCCGCCACGGCTTTGTCCAGCGACCCCACACTTGCATGTCTCACCAAAAAAACATCCCTCCCCTATAGCTATCGCTCGGCATGCGCGTGTGTGCACGGGGTGCGCAAGATGATGTGTTTTGGACGGGCACAGTCCACCGGATCGAGCGAACTCGCGCACGCGTCAATTTTGATGCACATCCACTTGCGTGGCGCAAAGCACAGGACATCCGCCTCCTGCCTGCCTGACTATTTACCACGCAAATTGCCCTTAGTGAAGAACCTTATGCCTGGGACAGGGCGGCAATGCCGGGCAATGTCTTGCCTACATCAGCAGCAGCAGTTGGCGAGTTGTGAACCCGAGTCGCTGTGCACGTTTGAAATGGTCTTTTCCTCACGATGTCAGTATCATTCTCTGTTCTTCGTTGATTCGTCTTGTCTACCTCGGCACCTGTCCTTTTGTGTGCGCAGCTGTGCATGTGTATGTGTGTTCCCTTGCGCGGAATCGATGCCACCACCATGACCAATGGGTCTTTTGCAAAGAGAAAGGAAAGGGCACTGCACCAGCTCACCTTCCAGCAACTCCAGGCTGGCACCGCCGCCAGTGCTGACGTGGCTGACCTTGTCCTCCGTGCCAAACTTGAGCGCACAGGTGGCAGTGTCGCCGCCGCCTAGATGTGCCGAACGAGAATGAGCCTCTGAGAAAGCGGTTGCCAGATCCTGCTACATTCAAAGCTCCCAGGTTCGCCAAGCAGAGAGGGATCCATCAGCACGAACCGATAATGACGGTCGAGCCGTTGCTTGTGGCGGACACGCAGGCATCCATGACTGCCTTGGTGCCGTTGGCAAACTTGTCAAACTCAAATACGCCCATGGGGCCGTTCCAGACAACCACCTTGGCGCGCTTGACGGCATCAGCAAACCTGAAATTACCCAAATCGAGCGCAACACGTGAGCCCTGGCATGACGGGCATGGCGGTACTGACGACTGGAAGGAGCGGCAAATTGACGGAAAAACTCACGCGGCCGAAGACTTCTCGCCAATGTCCAGGCCCATCCAGCCGTCGGGAATGCCGCTTTCATCAGTTGCCTTGTCGCTGGCCGCCTCGGCATCAAACTTGTCTGCAACCACGTAATCCGTGGGCAGATGAATCTTGACGTTGCGCTCCTCGGCCTTTTTCATGATGCGCTCGCAGAGGTTGGCACCTTCGGCGTCAAAGAGCGAGCTACCAATCTACCACATGGGATATGCATTGTGACCTGATGCGCTCAACAAGGCGAAACTACCTCTGTCGGGGCCATGCAGACACGACACGAAGCCTGCACAAGGGCACCGAGGCGCAGGAAAGTAAAACGCGTTGATTGCACCGCATCCTCGTACCTTGACATCGTTGAGAACCTTCTTGAAGGTAAAGGCCATGCCACCACCAATGATCATCTCATCCACCTTCAGCATTCGATGGGCACGCGCCGCAGTGACACGGGGCCACGTCAAGTGAGAGCTGGCCACGTGTCAAAGCTGAGGAAGTGGTCGGAGACGAAGAGGGAGCAGGTGGTTGTGGCAAACCTTGTCCAGCAGGTTCTCGATGAGCTGAATCTTGTCCTGCACCTTGGCGCCGCCGAGAATGGCAAGGAAGGGCTTTTCGGGGTTATCCAAGGCCTAGCCGCCAGAGCCAAAGTGCAAAGTTACACTCGGTAGTTGAGACGATGCCTTGGAGTTCATGAGACATGACGATCGTGGCCAAGCTAAAGCATACCTTGGCGAAATATTCGAGCTCCTTCTTGACAAGAAAGCCGGCCACCTTTTGGGGCAGGTCCACGCCGACCATCGAGCTGTTGGGCACAAGACCGGTTTTCAAAGTTTCATGCATTCCGTCAGCACACCTAGTTGGTGGCTTGTGGCATGCCAACACGCAACAAGGACAGGGTGCTCAAATGACAGCTTGCGGGTCGGAATACTAACCTGTGCGCACGGTGAGCGGTGCCAAAGGCATCGTTGACATAGATGTCACCTGTAACAAGGGTCAAATATCAAATACTGCGGAGAAGGGCAACCACTTGGAAATGGCAGCAGCCCCTGTCAACTGCCCACATGCGGTCAGGCGAAGCAAGACGCACCCAGCTTAGTCAGGGAGGCACGGAACGCCTTGACCTCGTCATCGCCGGCCTTGACCTATAAATGTCGATCCACCGGGTAGATGCACATGTTCCGCAACAAATTTAGGATGGCGAGAGCTGCAGCAAGCGATTGTGTGTGCTGGTGTACCCGAGCCTCGTCCGCACACACATACCTTGTTGCCATCGGCATCGACACCCTTGCCTTCCTCCTCAATGTGGAAGCGCAGGTTTTCGAGCAGGATGACAGAGCCTGCGCATCACGACGCAGGGCTTTGTGAGCTTGCACCAGCCATCACGTTGAGGTCATTTGAAAGCAGAGGCGCTTACCTTCTTCGGGATCAGCACAAACGCGCTCTGCTTCGTCGCCGACACAGTCGGAAACAAAGGTCACCTTCCTGAGAACATATGGGCCATTCGTGAAGCAAGCGTCAGACAGAGCGGAGGCATGCTGGCAGCGACAATCGAGGACCCAACTTGTTGACAAGGGACAATGGGGCACCACGAGCACATGCACGACAAACTTTTCCAGGAGCTTCTCGAGCTCGGCTTGCACGGGGCGCATCGAGTACTTGTCTTGCACACGGCCGTCAGGGCGACCGAGGTGGCTCATCAGCACCACGCTCTTGGCGCCTTGCTTGAGTGCGTACTGGATTGAATCGAGCGCGCCGACAATGCTGCACAAAGAAAGCAGGCCCGCCGAGTCAGTCGGACACAGCCCGCACAACTCGAGGTGCGTCCCAAGTGAGGCGCATGCAATATGCGATGTACGCACCGCTGGTTGTTGGTAATGTTACCCTGCTTGTCAAAGGGGACGTTAAAGTCCACGCTGTTGGCACGAGCAAAGAAGCAGAGAACGCGTGTGAATGGCCTGCACAGGTTTGGGAGGAGGCCTCATGCATAACCATGAACGTTTCACTGTGGTGTTACACGACCAACGAACCGCATGAGGACGCGCTTGCCCTTGAGGTCAACCGAATCAATGGTGAGCTTGTTCATGGTGGCGGGCTACGAGGCATGCAACAAGGCACAACACGTCAGTATCCGACCAAACAGTACCGTGCTCTGAGCAGCAAGACACCAGGCCCGCCGCCATGAGCCAGTGACCAGCAAACACACACACACACACACACACAAACATACTGTTTGAAAAACAACAAAAGGAACGAGACGAAGAAGAAAAATGAGCAAGCCACATTGCAACAGTCCCCACAAGAGAGAGAGAGAGAGAGAGAGAGAGAGAGTCTCTCAAGAGAGAAGCTCAAAAAAAAAACCAAAAAGCGCTTTTTGTGTGATTCTGAAACCTCAAAACATAGTGCACCACCAAATCCCGTGTCGCTGTGTGTCTTGGCTGCCATTCCATGTGCCGGTGTCTGCTGGTGTCTGTAGATGTCTATGTTTGCTTCTTGTTAGCCTGTGTTTCTTCCTGTCTCTGCCTGCCGCTCCCAATCTTCACCATCTTCCCCATCTTCCCTGTCTTCGCTCTCAGTCCTGCCAGACTTCTGGTCAGGCTCCAGACCAAAAGGCGACGCGTGCATTCAGCAACAAAACGCATGCAGGGTGTGCAGTGTAGAGCAGGAAAGAGGGATCAGAGAGCGCGCTGCTTACAGGAGGGACCAGAGACTCCTTCACATCAGTGGCCTTGGCTCCGCGGCAAAAGGGCATGGTTGACAACGATCTGCAGAGTTGCCAGCGAGAATAGGCATCGCATTCAGGGACTCCAAGCAAACGTGTGGCGCGCCTCGGCGGCGTGGCTATCCCCCGCGCAGCGCATAACAGTGCAAGACACCAGGAAAACTTTGGCAAGGACCGGGACCACATCAACAACGGCGCCCCAGTTGCTCTCCGCCGGTCACGCCTTCTGAGCAAACACAGCAACAACACAACAACAAAAAAGCCAAGCTGCAAGGCATCATCCCTGGTTAAGTGGGGCAGCCACGTATCCCCGCACTGTCTTTTGAAGGCCGCTGTGTCTCCTACTTGTGCAGAACAGGGCCACGCACCTCCGGCACACAAGCAAACCCTCCGCGTGAAGTGAAGAGGAAAACGGGGTGTGTGTGTGTGTGTGTGTGTGTGTGTGTGTTGTCAGAGAGAGAGAGGGGGAGGTTATGATGATATTTCGTAATAGCGCTACATGAAAGTTGTCGTTCAAGTAGCTTGTGGAACACACCGAGGCGTACACGCAGTGTACCCTGTTCGTCCAGTCCTTGCAGTACACGCTGTGTTCATCAAGTCCACCAAGTACACGTAGTATATCCATAGGGGGAGCAGCTCGCTCTCCGCCAACTAAAATAATAATATTATTATTCTTTTTCGCTGTTTAGTCGTGGAGATCTAGCTGCGCCGGGCTCGGCTCTTGGCGAAATAAGAGGGAGATGCGCCGGTCGCGTTCAACCGTATTGCCCTCGTAGGTGGATGTCGTGGCCGTTACGGCGTGTGTAAAGTGGAAGCGTGCCTCATCCCTGCAGCTCCAGCCAAGAGCGAGCGACAGTGTGAGACCAAGGCAGGGTCGCAACAGCCAAACACGCGACGAGAGAGAAAAGGGAACAGCAGGATCCGATCGAACCGCATAATATAGAGTGAGCGACGGGGCAGCACGACAGAAAAGGCCTCGGCTTCGAATCTGGTCAGGAGGACACACCGGGTACGCAAATCAGCCAAACCAGCAAATAAGGGACTTGTGCGGCAATTCTGGAGCAAATGCGCAAAGAATGCCACGTGCAGCAGCTGCAGCCGGCAAAGCCTTGCTTACCCTTCATGCGGAGCAAAATCCATGCGAGCCTGGGTGAGCAAACTCAGGCCAACAATGACCGGGCCCGCCTGTGAAAATAATAATCATAATAATAATCATAATACGAATAAGAAGAAGAAGAAGAAGAAGAAGAAGAAGAAGAAGAAGAAGAAGCACTCCACGGCAAAGTCTTTGCTTGAAGAATCAAGCACTCAAGGAGCAGCAAGGTCGCCGAGGCACCGCAATATATCAAGGCCGCCCTCAAAAGCACGTGGACAAAGGGGCGCTTGCGACACGTGGGAAAAATGGATGCTTACGTGCTTGATGCTGTCGACGTGAGGCCAGATCTCCCCTGCGGGGGCGAGGTCAAGGACGTGCACGGCCGGGTTAAAGGCAAACTCGGCCAGCTCCGGTCGCGCTCGCACTCGGTCCAAAATTTCCTGCGCCTCGGCTGGCCACTCCTGCTTGAATATCTCTCGGTAGTCGCGGATGGCGCCGTCAAAGTGCGCGCCGCTGTACCGCTTTCGCCGCAAGGGCCGTTCAATGGCAGCCAGCAGCACCGCCTCCTCATCGCCGGTAATGACCTCGGGAAACATCTGCACTCCCCAATTGGCAGCAGCTGCCTGATGATCCACCCCCAGGGCACGCCCCAAGCCCGGCAGTCGGCTCTGTCGGGGACAGCCCTGCACGACAACAGCCAGCGCCCATCGTGCCCCGCCCGGCACCACCCGCTGCCACTGACTCATCATTGTCAGCATGACCAATGTCGTTTGGTAAGTCAATTGTCAGAATTTTATGTCACAAGCGATTCGAAAAATCCGTAAGGCGAGCGCTGGTGACAACATGGGCACTAACTGCTACAACAAGTGTGACGGTTGATCATAGAGTATACCTTTATATTAAGCCACCTGCTACAACAACTGCAAAACCCGCTTCTATAACCTCCAACCCATTCCAACTGCCAACAACGCAAACACATGACGTGAAAATCTCTCTTTCTTCTCTCTCTCTCTTTTTGTTTTTTTTTTGCTTCAAATTTATTTTGTACGTGTGTGTGTGTATTTGTGCCGAGAGAAGTGTTGAGCGCGGTGCCCCCTCTGCTCGCCTCGCGTCGTCTTGCCACGTGCTGCTTCGGTTCCGTATCCCTCTGCCTTTTATCTACAAGCGGCTTGGACTCGATCTCTCTTTAACCCATCGAGATGGCGCGTGATCGGTTGTTCGAGATCATGGGAAATGCGGCATGGATCCCCATCATCGCCTTTGTTGCGGCCCAGACCTTGTTTGTGTTCTATCCGCCCCTCGCCCTCGGGCAAGTGGTGACGCCCGTCGTCACCCAGATCGTGGGCGCCATTCAAGCCGCCGTTCTGAACGTAGTGCCGCTTGGCGATAATGCTGGCCCCGACCACATCTCCGTCTACACCGTCCTACCTGTCGCTGCCCTCATGGTTCTCTTCTTTTATGTCGGCAAGCTTGTCCTCAAGGTTTGTTCTCATGTGCTCCCTCTTCTCCCTCTTGTGGGCGCTTGATCCCTACTTCCCCTCCTCGCCATGAGCCCTCACCAACATCCCTTCTCGCTACCGCCACACACAAATCGTGCCCCTCCTTCCCAACCTAGGGAGTTGTCCGCCCCTTGGTCAACTCGGAGGAAGACGCCTACAAGCTGGGTGAATGTGCCCTGCGCGGCACCTACTATTTTTTCATGTTTGTCACATGTTATTCCATCTCCACCAAGGATGGCTACTGGGCCAACTCACGCCTGTGCTGGGAGGCGGAGCAAACCGCCTCTCTCGAGACTGAAAGCTACTACGTCGCCGAGCTGGCCTACTACGTCTCGGGCATCTTCATCCACGTCTTCCTGGATCAGCCCCTAAAAGACTATTGGGTCATGTTCTCTCACCACGTCATCACCATCCTCCTCATCTACTGCTCCTACGTCTTTGGCTATCAGCGTGTTGGTATGCTTGTCCTCCTCTGCCACGACGTGAGCGATATCTTCCTGGACTATGCCAAGTGTTTCCATTACCTCGATCTGGTACGTTGATTCTGAACCCCTGCTGATTTGCCCCCTCGTGCGACCCCAATCGTGAGCCCCCCTGACCAACTTTCTCAACCCAGGACATGCTTTCCACCTTGACCTTTGTCAACATGCTCATCTCTTGGGTTCTTTACCGCCTTTACTACTACCCCACGATCGCCATCAACTCGGCCATGTTCGAGTCCATTGAGGAGGGCGTGAGTATCACCCGTGAAGCGAGATTGAGCCCTGGCTCGATTGCCCGGTACCCCTATTGCACTGCACACCCGTGCAAACCCTGACACTGCTTGCTTTTTTCGTATGCCCTACTCGCATCCTTTTCAGCCAAAACCCAAGTTCCATGAGCTCTTCTGCATCTGGCTTTCTCTGCTCCAGGTTTGCAGCCCCTCCCTTACTTGGCCGCCGAACGGCACCGCCATCTTGTTATCGTGACGTCTTTTTTGAAAAAAAAGAAAAAGAAGAAAAAAAGCCTCATGACCCCCTCATCTGCACTTTGGATCAGATCTTGCACGTTTACTGGTTTGGCCTGATGCTGGATGTGGCTCGCCGTCGCCTCTTTGAGGGCGAAATTGAGGTATGTTCGCCACCCGAGCACAGGACGCCTTCTTGGTGGCCTCGTCGTCTTGCCACAAGTACGTCGGGCAGCTTGTCTTCACGTCGATGTGCCCAATCGCTCACAGGACGTTCGCGACGACGAAGCCGTCAAGCGTCAAAGCTCGCAGCGCAAGCCAAAGTAAGCCGTATCCATTTATTGTTTTTGCACGCTCGCTCCTAGATGTTTCGACTTTGCCCGAGGGTGCATGGAACTTGCCGTCCTTCTCATTTCAATTTGTTTTTCTCACCACCAACTAGGACTCACTGAGTACTGCGCTGGCCCTGGGATCGATCGTTGGTCATTGAGTCACCAAACAGAGTTGCAAATTCAATCGAACCGAATATGACCGCTTCATGTTGCCGATGTCACGGGTGGAGCGCAGCACTTTTGTAGAAAGGCGTCATGAACAACATCCGCGCCGACAATGTCGCGCAAGCGCTCAAAGCGAGGCCGCGCACTCTATCCGTGACCCAACGCACGCAAACACAAGCGGTGCATGAGATACAATTCTCAAACACAAACATCGATGCAAAACAGCGCGTGTGGCACTTTGGCGGCTACAATCAACCTTGAGAGCCGCCGTTGATTCATGTTCCTTCAGTTTGTGTTCCACCAAGACAGCTACCACGTTCTATGTGACAACAGAAAAAAAATGCAGTCATTAGAACAGCGGCTTCAGTCCTAAGTCGTGCGACCGACGCACCTTCAGCTGGCGATGAACATGGTCAGCAGCATCGGGTTGATCTTTGGCTTTGTCTTGCCAAATCTTATAGTATGCCTTTGAGTGTGATGAGGGCCCGCCAAACAAAAATGAGGCTATTTCAGTTGTGCGAGCCACTGGACCATCAAACCGCCGGCAAAGTGTGCATGCCCGGACAAGATACGCACAGGAATGCTGTCGATAATATATGCGTCGATCACCAGGGGCCCGAGAGCATGGAGACCGACGAGTGCACCATAGTGCGTAAACAGCGAGCGCGACGAATCCAACAGGGCGGCCAGAAAGGTTTTGATGACGCGGACCTACAACATTCAGTCAGGCAACCTCTCCATTAGGCAGGACGCCTCGAGTTCTTTCAGGAATGCCCAAAAGAGAAGCCGAGTAGTCTCGAACCTGCACGTCCGGATAACGATCAACGAATCGACTGCAAACTTGTTGCAACACGCCAGCAGCGTGCTTGCGCAGCGCCCATTGCGCCGACTGCTGGGTCGTTAGATCGCGGCTCAAAACAAAAGTCATGATCTGAGGCAACAGATTGTGCAGCTAAAAGGCCAGTCCAGGAATCAACCACCAAGGACATGGCGATGGGCAAACAGAGGTGAATATGGCATTGATCGGACACACACATAAACTCATACACACATTCACACGCCCACACGCACGACCAGGCTTGCGGTGTGAAAGCAGAAGCGTGCGAGCGTACATAAGGCTCGAGAAGGACATATTTGTTTTCCACTAGGGCCTCGATAATGTCCAAGACACGGCCCAGAACGACGGCATTGCCTAGATTGGTACTGAGCTACATTCGGGACCGTGTACATCGATGAGCGAAATTGCCAGGTACCGGCTCAGCGTTTTGAAGAGCAACTTGCCTCGTTAGCCACAAACTCGATGAAAAATGGCAACAACTGTTGCAGGCCGGGGTCTTCACGCAGGGATCGCAGGGCATTCTCTCGAAACTGGTTGCCCTGTTTGGTATTGTGCTCGCCCACGCGCATCATGGCACCTTGGATAATGTGCTTGTATAGCAGTTGCTGCTCCTTGCTCAACAACTGCACGGACAGAACGCACAGAGACAAATAAGCACTGGAACAAACCGCACAAAAAAGGAACCGAGGGGAGGTGCTGGGCTTCTTTCGCCAGGATAAACGCACGTGGCGGCTGAGGCCAACGACAGTAGCGCCCTCTTGGTCCTGTTGCTGTTGGTTGGCATTGGTCATGGCTTGTGCTGCCTTGACAGCCTCATCACCAAGTGGCAGGTACGTCGGCACGGCCGATTCGGTATTTCCCTAAAATAAGTTTGCAAGCATAGACGCGGCGATAAGGACTCAACCATGTCGTCCGAACGTGGCGGGTCATGTCAACGACGGCTCGACGGAGTGGGTAGCGACACTTGGATATGGGACCTGACCTGGATAATATCAAGTTCAACCTGCAGGTCCTCGTTTTGCGAGGGGTTTGGAGCCTCAAGCTCGCGGGTTTGACCGTTAGCCCCCATATCGGCCAAAGCACCAGCCTCCAGGCCTACCAACCATGATGGGGAGCGAGCCCATCAGAGTGATGATCGGCAGTACAAACAGCT